CAAGTCAAATCAAGCAATCTGATTGGTTCTTAGCCGTGATATACTGAGCGTATACCACGGGTAGAATTGTAAGTTACTTTTCACAACAAGTCAGTATCCCTCCGCGTCTGAGAAAAACAGTATACCGTTGGGCTGAAAAGTAAACCGCTTCGCGTCGGGCCGAACCACGCCCCTTAGCTGTGATATAACGAGCATATACCACGGCCTGTCGTGAGCTATTGCTTAATTATAAAACGGTCAAGTCAAATCAAGCAATCTGATTGGTTCTTAGCCGTGATATAATGAGCGTATATCACGGGTAGAATTGTAGTTACTTTTCACAACAAGTCAGTATCCCTCCGCGTCTGAGAAAAACTGTATACCGTTGGCAGTTTGCTTTTCAAACTGGGACAAGAAAACAGCGGGGAAGTAACGGGGCAGAAACCCTCCTTTTTACGGGTCCAGACATAGACATCAAACGGCGACACATATTCAGTGTGCATTTACTTTGGCATTAGGTTTATGGATATCTACATACTTCCAAGGTTTGACATAATGAATTGTGCTACTTTTAAAGCAAGCAGCGATGTTTTCAAATTAAAAATCAAAAAGGACCGCAAAAACACTATCGACCAATCAGATTGCTTGATTTGACTTGTCCGTTTTATAAATAAAATGAACTTCGTACGCATTCATATTTAATTAATTGCACATTGAGGTAAATATCTAAAGGGAACCGTAAAGTAAGTAACGGAAAGTAATCAGGATACATTCATTTTCAATTCTGATACTTCCATTAGGTTACCCAAACCTTGTTTTTCATTACTGCACATATTTCAATCCAATTTTATTGCTACGATTTCAACCATATTCAATGTAAATATTGCAATATTTTTGTTTTATTTGTATGTTTGTTTATGTACAACACCAAGTCAAAATCCTCGTATGTGTTCACCTACCTTGTAATAAAAAATTTCTAATTTCTAATTTTTCTGCGTGTGATGGTATGATAACTACGTCTATAATAAGGTTTGCCCTGAATTTCAAATTCCTGCATTTGTTGAAAAAAAAAAAAATTAACACCAATTAAATGTGACTAGAGCTGCTCAGAGGAAGTGACCAGGTGAGATGTGACTTCACCTCAGAATGGAGAATAAAAACCGATTCCTTATTATTTTGCCGTGCAGATTCTTTAGCTAACCCTCGCTGTGTCTCCGCTCAGCCGTGCAAACGTTACCTCATGAAATATTCAAAACCCTCGGTCCGGTTCCCTCAGAGGAGAAGATGCTATTAGCAGCACGAACAAAGGAGAACATCGGTGATTACACTGCATCATGGAGATGAATGAGATCTGAACTTTAAGGGCTCGATACGTATTTAAGGGGAAAGGTGTTGGAGTTGAAGTGAGTTAAGATGGGATGTCTCCACAGGGGAGGAGGCAAATATACCCAGATGACCCGTTATGTAACAAGAACTCAGCGATAGCCACCACTAAGACCCGTTTTTTACACTTAAGGGAGAATACATATCATTAGTATAAAAGTATTGACTCCAATTTTGTTTATTTTGATGTTAAATGAACAATTTATGAAGTTTCCAGATAGAAAATCCATGAAATGTGACACGTTTTAAGGAACAAACCGAGGACAAACTTGCCACTAAAACATATTTCTTACACTTAATGGAGAATATATAACATTATTATAAAAATCTTGACTCCAATTTTGTTTATTTTGATGTTAAAGGAAAACATTTTTTAAAGTTTTTGTAGAAAAAATCCATGAAATGTGTCACGGTTTTTAGTTGTCATTCAAAACCTGTGGCTAAACTGAAACATCTATTTGCATAAAGATAAAAAAACAATCGTCATTTCCTCATTTGCAGTTCAAATATTTGACAAACGAATGGTCTAATCTTTCTGAGAAGTAAACGTGAGTTTGATGATGGTTTTTAAAATAATCAGAAAAGCTTTTAATCTACAACACGGATATAAGTTGCCCTTACTGTGCAACACGAATAGCCAGAAAACCTTTTTTTTAGTACACCCACACGCGCACACACACACACACACACTTTGAGCCGCTTGTTTCTCCAACACACAGAGCACTTTTCTATGCTGTCAATGGAAAACACTCACCCTAATTATCCAACTTAATGCCTCTGAGACTGACAATAAAATATTAGAAAATACATAAATTCTCCTGCCTTTCTGTGGCTCACTTCCACAACACACACACAGCAGAAATAAGCATCATTTACAGGTTGTGTGTGTGTGTGTGTGTGTGTGTGTGTGTGTGTGTGTGTGTGTGTGTGTGTGTGTGTGTGTGTGTGTATAGTTCCCAGCTTTGCTCACCTCTGCTGCCCGTCATCCCGCCTCTGAAATGTTTCCCTGACGGAGAGGCTGGAGGCTTTGAGACGTCCGGAGACAAAGAGAGAAAGGACTACCTCACTCTTACACTTTCACCCTTGTACTGCTGACTCCCCCCTCCTGTCTCTCTTCCTCTCCCCCCCTCCCTTCCTCACCAACGACGGGCCTTTCAGAATTTCGAAGAGGCAATCAGATATTTTGTCCGCAAGGAGGATGACAGCGCAGAACGGAGCCAAAATCAAGGATCCGGATCAGAGCCCAGTGTGATTTCTCTTTTCCGGACGCCATGGACTGGAAGTGATCTCATGCATAATACGTGAGAGGAGTCAGAAAAGTGTGCAGGGATATTATTCATGAGCTCTGTAATGGCGAGCAAAGAAAGAAAGAAAAGGGTGACGAGCTGTTGGGTTATTTGTCGAATACTCGATTCTGATTGGTCGATTTGGACATCTCAGAGGTTGTTAATACTCGATAACAGACCGTCGCTAAGCAAAATAATGACTGTTGTTAAGGAGGATGAAAGAATGAGGTTAAAAGACAGAGTGTTGGACGTCAGATACATCTCCACAAGAAGACAGACAGGAAGTAAAGACTATCAGGAATAGTAGAAGAAGACAGACAGGAAGGAAGTAAACAATAAAGGGAACAGCAGAAGAAGACAGACAGGAAGTAAACACTAAAGGGAACAGTAGAAGGAGACAGACAGGAAGTACACACTAACGGGAACAGTAGAAGAAGACAGACAGGAAGTAAAAACTAACGGGAACAGTAGAAGAAGACAGACAGGAAGGAAGTAAACACTAAAGGGAACAGTAGAAGAAGACAGACAGGAAGGAAGTAAACAATAAAGGGAACAGCAGAAGAAGACAGACAGGAAGTACACACTAAAGGGAACAGTAGAAGAAGACAGACAGGAAGGAAGTAAACAATAAAGGGAAAAGCAGAAGAAGACAGACAGACAGGAAGTAAACACTAAAGGGAACAGTAGAAGGAGACAAACAGGAAGGAAGTAAACACTAACAGGACCAGTAGAAGAAGACAGACAGGAAGGAAGTAAACACTAACGGGACCAGCAGAAGAAGACAGACAGGAAGGAAGTAAACAATAAAGGGAACAGTAGAAGAAGACAGACAGGAAGGAAGTAAACACTAACGGGACCAGCAGAAGAAGACAGACAGGAAGGAAGTAAACACTAAAGGGAACAGTAGAAGAAGACAGACAGGAAGTACACACTAACGGATTTGGTGGATTTTCTTCACTAAATCCCAACTTTTTCAATAGAAATTGCATTAAATTATATATTTTCTATCTTATCTATGACTGTTAATGTGATATATCAGGATTTAACAAGATCACATTTTCATAATCCGCATTAGAGTCAGGCTCCATGGCGCTAAAGTGAATTATCTATCATAGGAGCTTTGTTGATTCTTATCTCCACAGAATCATTAGGGCGTGATGAATGGAGACGTATCGTGGGAAATATGCGACCAAACGAATCGATGCAACTGCAGAGGAAGTCTCCTACGGTCCTAAAATCTGTCTTGCATTCAGACAAAGCGCTCATGAGGGCTTCACTTGAGTACAAGTACTAATACCACACTTTAAAAATACTCCATTTCAATTAAAAGTACTGCATGGACAGTGGTTCTTAAGTAAAAGCATTTAAGTACAATTAGGAGAAAAGTAGAAGAGATTTCTGCCAATTCATTTCCTGTTAACACACTCCTGGTTTTAGTTACGAGTTTATTTAGTTTAGATGGTTTAATCTGATACCAAATGATCATATTTTAAACGTTTTTCATAAGTATTGTCCGTCAAAATCTGAATTCATTAAGAAAATAAATCTGTAAATGGAGTAAAAAGTGCAAAATTGGCTTTTAAAATGTAGTAGAGTATAAGTATAAAGTACTATGTATAAATACTCAGGTAAAGTACCTCACATGTGTACTTAATTACAGTACTCGAGTACATGTACTTTGATACTTCACACCACAGGGTATTACTTAATAATGATTGGGCGTTTACACACTTTTAAGAGCATCCTCGGTTATTTAGGCTGGGTGATTATGCCTTCAAATGCTCTATTTGTTTTAAGAAAGGAAAAGACTTCCTACACACCGTCATTTAGGAAACCCTTAAGCGCTACCACGAGCTAAAGGTGATGCTTTCATGTCATAATTTCTTTTGTTTTACTCCCACTACAACTCAAATTAAAAAGACAATTCAATCCTGATCCAGGTAAACTCTCCAGCGCAAACACAGTGTTATAATCTGCAGCTCTGCTCAGTAAACATTTCAACGAGTCAAACTTATTCCATTAAAAGTTTGAAATTAGCGGAGCAGATATATCCCACACTGAGGGTAATGGAGACAGGCGCTCTCTTTCTAACGAACAGATAAGAACCAGGGGTCACTGATATGACATCACATTACTCACACACATGTGGAGTTTTAATGGGGGGTATTACACCTTAATAGGGTTAAAAAACGAGAGATATTACTAAGAAAACCAACTTTTAAGATCATTCTTAGTATGCAAATTGGTAATTTACGAGAAAACAACCAACAAAAATAGACAAACATATAAAAAAAACATTTTAGAGCTCCCATATAATGCTAATTGGGGGTTTTCCCTCTCCTGTTCTGTAGGTTTTAGTGCATGTAAATGGTGTGCAAATGCTAAAATCCTAACATTTTTGACCGTCTAGTGCCTCTCCTTAAGGGTCACTTTAATATATCCTCAACATACATTATACAAGGTAGAAATGTCACTTCTTGTGGGTTAAAAAAAAGATGAAGTATCAAGAGGTTTATTCGAAATATGGTGAATTATCTAGAATAACAGATGCATTGATGCCCGCAGGCTAAAAGACACCTGATGTGTTTTTGAATTTGAACTCTGATATCCTTTTCCTTTCCTTCCAGTCACCCATACACAACTAAATGAATGCGCACACACACGCACACACACACACACACACACACACACACACACACACACACACACACACACACACTTAATATTCTGGGATTTAATTAGGCATATTTAAGACTTATTATGCAGAAAAAAAGACTGATTAGTTTTATGGACATGAAATAACTTGCCACCGTAATTTGAATCTGTAATAATAATTTCCAGCTACTAATTAATGCAGCCTACAAATGAACGTACTAACATACTCATTAATTCTTTTTTAACATTTCTCATTTTCGATTTTTTCCATTTTCACTCTTAGTATATTGTAAATAATTTGACAAATACACATGCAAGCTGTGTATGTAATGCTCTAATGCATGTATGTAAATTAATGATACAACACTTATTTTCTCATTAGTATATCAACTGGAAAAGGCAGGTAATGTCGGTGTAAGCTTTGAATGTGTGAGATATGTATGAGAAGCAACGCTGGTGTTACCTTGACAGTATATTATGCTAATGAGAGGATATTAGTGCTCCATTAGTCGTATCATACATCAACAAAACACGTCAGGATTGCTGGTGATTGATTGTTTTGAGGGTCTGCACGAGAAGCTGAGTTACGGTTCTCGCTTTGGATGACATGAAGGGAACACACAGGATGATGGAGAGGAACAGAAATGATTTCATGTGACAGACGAGGATGAGAATGAATGTCTGTGCACTCACATCAGCACGCAGAGGGCTGTACTGACAGGGACGGCTGATTTATTAGAAGGTTATGTCCATGACGCTCGCAGAATTATGGAAATCCTAATGTCTTTATGGAAATACTTCAAAGATAATTTTACCTGGATGGTTGTGATGAAATGATGTATTTTTGTAGAAACTGATTGATATGCTGCACTTATAATGTTATATTATATGAATATCCCTTCATGCTTTTCGAATATCAAAAATGCCTGATGTGAGGAATTACTATAATTTATTGTTACAGAAATTCTGGAAAAAAAAGTCGGAAAAAAAGTCAAGAAATTTCACTCTATAATAAAACATTCTGAATAAAAATGTTGTTATATGTTTACTTAGCTAAATATTAAAACCACTATAAAAAATAATACCTATACAGATATATCCAAAATATAATTCATATTCTTCATAAAAATCCAATCCAATTGAATTGTCAATCTTTATCATTAAAAGAAACACTGTATTCTTGATGGTAATAACTCATATTATATTTTTGCCTTTCATACAAAAGAAAATGAAACATTTTCCACTATGAGAACAGCAGTTGGAAAAGCATGCATGTTCCCATAATACACAACTGAGAGCTTCCCATTGCCCTGGGATTAGAGTTAAGATGCCCCTATCTGTGTATTTGACTTTTAATGTTGACTTTGCTTTTTAATGACTGTTTTTAAATGCCATTTTCTTAATATCTTTCATTTTTGCAAAGCACTTTGAATTGCCTTGAAATTGAAAGTTGAAAGGTGCTATATAAATAAACTTGCCTTGCCTATCTATCTGTTTGCTCCACTTACCCCTGTGATGACTGCTGAAGACCCGTTGGACACCAACAACAGAGTGAAGAGCAAGAGGAAGAAGGATTTAATGACGAAGAGCTGCCTCTGCGCTCCCGTGCACTCCATGGTGAAAAGTGATGTCTTCTGAAGCTGTCGGACCTTGTTGCATGTGCCTACGTGACGGATCGCAGGGACAAGTGGCCTTCAAACTCACTCACAGAGGTTTATAAACCCAGCCCGCCATTCAGTAACTCTGTGACTCACTCACACCAGCATCGCCTCACAGGAGCGTAGAACCAGCAGGACAAAGACCAAGGTAAACATCTTAATGACAATGAATAATCCACTCCAGATGAGTGCAGACGTGCTCACTGTGGCATTCTGTAAAATCCATACCATCTTTATATTTTCCACTTCACCTTTTTAGATCCCAAGGCCACTGTTTTGAAAACATCCTTTTCAAACCCACATTCAATGCTTTACAGAGGCCACTGTAAATCAAAATCAAATCAAGTTTTATTTATATAGCACATTTTTAAACGATTTTTGGTCGAGCCAAAGTGCTGTACATATAATAAAAAATACCCTACAGTAAAGAAACTTTACATTACATTACAATTAGCTGACGCTTATATCCAAAGCAACTTACAATAAGTACATTCGACCAGGAAGATACAAACTTGAAGAAAACCGAATCATATAAGTACATCAGGTTTCATAGAGCCAAACAATTCAAGTGCTACTCAACTGGCTTTAGATAAGTCAGTCCTTTATTAGTATATAAGTGCTTTGTTAGTAATTATCGCTCAAAGTGGAGTCGAAAGAGANCGCTACTTTCACTATATTTTGATAATAATACTTTTATACTTTTACTTGAGTAACATTTTGAATGCAGGACTTTTACTGTAACAAAGTATTCCTACACGCTGGTACTTCTACTTTTACTCAAGTACAAGATCTGAGTACTTCTACTTTTACTCAAGTACAAGATCTGAGTACTTCTACTTTTACTCAAGTACAAGATCTGAGTACTTCTACTTTTACTCAAGTACAAGATCTGAGTACTTCTACTTTTACAAGTACAAGATCTGAGTACTTCTACTTTTACTCAAGTACAAGATCTGAGTACTTCTACTTTTACTCAAGTACAAGATCTGAGTACTTCTTCTCAAGTACAAGATCTGAGTACTTCTTCTCAAGTACAAGATCTGAGTACTCCTACTTTTACTCAAGTATAAGATCTGAGTACTTCTACTCAAGTACAAGATCTGAGTACTCTTACTTTTACTCAAGTACAAGATCTGAGTACTTCTACTTTTACTCAAGTACAAGATCTGAGTACTTCTCCCACCTCTGGATTTAAACATATATTAAACAATATAAACACAACACCCACTGAAATATAAAGGGATTTAAAGTATATTTGAAGTATGACATTAAGGATTACATTGCTATATTTTGTAATCATTACATTTGTATTAGTCTGATTATTAATCTCATTATTTTTGATCATCAGTTAGACATGTTAAATAGTCAATATTAGTGCTTCAAGTTACATTACAAGTTTTGTTTCTGCTTCTGCCATTCTGGAAATGAAATAACTTTTGAATAAAGTAAAAGATGTATTAATTAAGTATTTATGTATTTGATACCAACAGGGAGGAAGAAAGCAACGCAAAAGGAGGAGTATGGAAGATGAAAGTACCAAAAGAAAGCACAGTAGGTGTTTTTGTTTATCATCACATCACATCATAAAAAAAGGCTGAATTATGAATACACTCTTCTGTTTCCTCCTCTTGCTCCAGTCTGCAGTTTGGAAAGAGTTGTTACTTGCTACTATCGGGGAGCAGTTTGCAGATTACTGTGCCTCAGGTGAGCTTCTTCATCAGAATGAAAACAGAAGTGCTTTTCCCCCAGCATAGCATTGATGAATATTTATCTGTTTTTTCTCCTTTTTTCATCCCCCAGACGATGAGGTTGTCGGTGTCAGTGTTAGCGTTCGGGACCGGGAAGATATTGTACAGATCTGGAATAGCGATGCATCTCTTGCTGACGAAGCAAATATCTTGGGGAAAGTCTATGAGCTCCTCCCGTACATTCCTTTTAAAGCTGTTTTTTATAAGCGTAAGTATTCCCCTTTTTTCCCCCTTGCACGTAACGCAGCATTTAGATTTAGCAACGGAGCTTACACTTTAAAATTGCTCTTGTCAGAAACTAACATCAGTCAAGTCAGACAGCTTTTCTTTTTTTTTAACGGTGCTCTGGAATGAATTATGCACGTTTGCAGGAGATTCTTATTAAAGCATGCCAGAGGATGATTTAAGGAGCGGACATAGCTGTAGGCTAAACAGGAATGTATTGATGTTGCAGAGAAATGCCCCCTAATGTATGCTTCCATACCTGCTCCACATAGCATATGCACATAGTCCTGTCACTACATGTCAAATACCTAATCCCAAATGTATAATGAGCTGTACAGTTATTAGAATCAACTGCAACTGGTACACAAGCAGAGCATGTTATTTAAGACCATAATACTAGTCTTTTAAACTATGAATGTGCTGATAGGCAAGTGAAAAAGAATATCTGGTTACCCTAGCCTCTCCTGTCTTTAAAGAAGCCCTACTATGCTTTTTGGGGTGTTTATATAGTGCATGTAAATGGTCTGCAAAGGCTACAATCCCAAAGTTCCCTCTTTTTAATGAGAAAAAACAACTCAAGATTATCTTAAAGCTCCTTTACTGTTTTTATTTTCAACAGTAAAACAGGTGGGACGAAAAGTGTTTGGTGTTGTAATTCTCTCTTTGACCACAAGAGGACCCATTATATCCTATTCTTAATCGTTTTCAGAAACGTACAGGGTTCTTACGGTCATTAAAAACCTGGAAAAGTCATGGAAATTCAAAATGCAAATTCCAGGCCTTGGAAAAGTTATGGAAAACAATGTTTTTCCCAAAGTTTTGGAAAAGTCATGGAAATGTAACTAAATATATAATTTATATTTTATCTAATCGCTGAAATAGTAATACTATAATGATAATAAATACTTTATCGAATAGTAATGAAACGTAAAATGGCTTTTAACTGTGGAGGTGTTTTGCTGGTGAGAGATTTTAGTGGCTTTAGCGTGTAGAAGCTAGTAAGCCTACTTGATTTGTTTTAGATAGGCACAACATGTTTCATATGCAGACCTTATTTTCCTGTTCCATGTTCAAATAAACCATTTTCAGTGGTACGCTGAGAGTAATTTATTTGGTCATGGAAAAGTAGGTAAAGGTCATGGAGAAGTCATGGAAAATCATTGGTGAAAAAGTGTATGAACCCTCGACGGAATCTAATCGTTGCCTCGATTGATTTTACGAGAACAGTCTTTGATTGTAGTAGTTCAGCTGTCGAAAAAAAAAAATTTGCAGAGACCTTCTTAATACGTGCAAACGTCCTCTAAGAAAATTTCGTAGGGTCTCTCTAAATTCCTCGCCTGTATCGAATCCGATTGTCTTACATACTACAACGTCTCTTTACGGGGATTACATACGACGGTATGAGAACGAGGTGTAATCGTATACGGTGTAATCAGGACAGGTGATGTACAGTTATGATAGGTTTTTACATATTAACTTCGACAGTCAATAATCTTAGTGACGTTACCATGTGTCGTCTCGTACAATAAATTCTGGTATTAGTCAGAAAATTATACTTACACGACTACCGTTCTTTTTCTATAGCCCAATGGGACGGAGAGGACAGAAATTCTCGGTTGATACGAAAACCCCACAATATATCACGTACATTTACAGACGGTTTCCGAAATGTTAGGGTTTCAAGGGAGAAAATTACTCTTTTTTTTGTTGAGTTCTAATAGAATTTCCAGGGAAAGTTGCAAAATAAAAGTGTCATTTATTGTCCACCTGCCTTTTCACAACCAAAACATTAGAAGGAAACGGTGTTCTCCCTGGGGTAAATAGGATAAGAGTAGCAAAGTCTTTGAATGTCCCAAGGATACATAATTTTGGACTTTTCAAGTACCTTTAAGTTTTACGTTTAGGTTCCGGAACCTTAATACCTTTGTAAAAAAGGATTTCAACCTTTCAGTACCTAAATTGATTTATATATTAAATAAAATAGATAGCGGCTTTATCATTATATAATACTATATTTATGACATAAGCATATCATAACTTTGCATTACGAAAATTGAACACCTCCACAAAACGACAACTCTCTAAATCACCGAATCGCACATCTTCGATCTTCCGGATAAACTAAAAAATCTATCGTTTGTCAATAAACGTCTGGAAAAAGGACAAGGGTACAAAAGTTTATGTTTGGAAAAAGCACATGGCGACTCTTCATTAAATAAACCAGTACTTTAATCCATGCCTTTTCAGTACCTTTTAGTAACCACTTTTTCAATACTGGGACCATATATTTAAACTAAAACGTTTGTGTGTTATACATTACATAATATAAACTCCAACCTCTAAATTTGAAATCTCTTCACAAACTGTTTTGCTTTAGGGACTTTCCATCACTTCCTTTCTTTTTCTCTAATAGGGACATTTTTGGATTAAAGTGGGAAATTAGTATGACAGTGGTGCTTTTTGATAAGTCAATGTGAACCTGTGGTCTTAATATTAAAGAGTCCCATTGTATTAAAATGAAAAAGAAAATTTTTTTTACCAGGAAGGAAATTCGAACTACCGTCCTAACAGACTACAGTGGACCCGACTCAACAAATACAACCAAGTCATACAATTCTTCCCCACTTTATATCCAAAAATGGTCCATTAGAGAAAAGAAAAGGAGTCGATGAAAAAGTCCTCTAAAGCAACGTTTGTGAAGAGATTAAAATTTATGAGGTATGTGAGGATTATTAATTTATGTAATTGTAACACCAAACGTTTTAGTTTTAANTACATTTGTGTTGGCTTTTTTTGTTTGTTGATCAAATACTATATTAGGATTTCTCATTTTGACACAAGCCAAACATCTTGATTACAGAATCTAAGTTCCTATCCTAATATAGTATTTGATCAACAAACAAAAAAAGCCAACACAAATGTACCTAAACAACAACAATCTAACATGCATAGAGGCTACTACAGTGGACAGCTTTTCAAAAGGTGTTTTGCATGCATGGGTTTTGATGGCATGGTTGCACCATCAGCCACTACACAGGACCCTATTGCATCATCCCATACACTGCCACTCAGTGGAAAGTCAGTGTAAGTGCATGATACATGTCTCTAAACCAAGATGGACGACAGAAAGCCAGATGGACCGAATCACTCGTCGATATCTTGCCAATCCTTTTATTGAAAGCCCCCCCTGCAGGTATAACAATGTTGGTGACATCAAGTAACAACTAAGGAATCATATCATTCATGAATTGTCAAAGTATTAATTTTATGTTTGCTAAAGTGGACGTCATGCATCACTGGCTATATTTCAACTACAATTCATACTGTTACTGCTACTGTTCTTCTTGAAAATACTT